ATAACAGAGTTGGAAGGGACCCTGGAGGTCTTCTATTCCAACCCCCTGCTTATAGGGAGCACACCCTATAGCATTTCAGACAAATGGTTGTCTACTTTCTTCTTAAAAACTTCCAGTGTTGCAGAATTCACAACTTCTGGAGGCAAGTTGTTCCACTGATTAATTGTTCTGTCACGAAATTTCTCCTCAGTTCTAAGTTGCTAATCTGCTTGATTAGTTTCCACCCATTGCTTCTTGTCCTGCCCTTATGTGCTCTGGAAAATAGCTTGACTCCCTCTTCTTTGTGGCAACCCCTGAGATATTGGAACACTGCTCTTATCTCACAATTAGTCCTTCTTTTCATTAAACTAGACATATCCAATTCCAGCAACCATTTATATATGTTTTAGCCTGCACTCCCCTAATCATATCGCCTAATAATAATGAGAGGAAATGCCTTTCTGGCTGTCCATCTCCATTGTCATTTTTCCAGCTATCAAAGGTGAATATTTTTAGAAAGCCTATAAATCCTTCATGATTAGAAAAAACATCTGAAAGTTTGTCTTCTTTTGTTTCCAAGAAGACTTTTTCTTATTTAGAAAAAGTCACCAATCTTGTTTGTTGGATCCCTGTCTCAGAAGCCATAGGATTCCACTAGGATTTTACCTGATGTTGAAGATTTTCTTTATTACATTTCTAAGTGTATTTTTATATTTTGTTTAATGTTTTAATAATTACTTTAAATATATTATATATATATAATTATGATTTGTTTTTTTCTGAATTTTATTATGTTGGGCAATGATAAATTTCAGGATGATTAAATGATTAAATTAAGTATTATGCCAAAAGATAACTTACATACCAAACAGTAAATAATGGTATTTGGTTTGGGGGAAAAAAAGTTCTGTTAATTACTTGCATCTAATGAAGATGAAGTTGTTTGATAAATTATGATATAGAGTGCAGATCATGGGAATTGATCCATATAGGATGAACCAGGCTGTTTTATAGGAAATTTTGGGCAAGAAGACCATTTTAATTCAGCTCTCACTTCAAATTTAATTCCATTGTTAGATAGTAACAATGTATTAAGATTATTGTGATCAATTGGTTAAAAGTGAAAAAAAAAGTCCCTTAACTCTTTGTTTTTCCTTTCCAGAATATATTGACTCTGGATTGTACTGAAGACAGAGATACACAGGCTGAAATGGTGACATAAACTACTAGAATTGAATTGGAATAAATTCTGAAACTCTTTATAATCTCAATGCAGTCAGAACTGGAAAGCATCTTGGCCTGACTTACAACATGACTTTTATTGTGAAACTTCATAGACATTTTCAACGAACAGTAATCTTACTAGCTACATTTTGTATGGTCAGCATTGTTATTTCAGCATATTATTTATACAATGGCTACAAGCAAGAAAATGAAGCTTCTGAACTTTCTTCAGAGGTTGAATGTGGGGACCTTCCAATGCTGCTATCTCCATGGAAGATGATTAAGCCCAGTGAACCACTAAGGACTGACCCTGTTGTGCTTGTATTTGTGGAAAGTCAGTATTCTCTACTTGGTCAAGATATAGTCATGATATTAGAATCCAGCAGGTTTCAATATCACATAGAGATTGCTTCTGGTAAAGGTGACCTTCCTGTACTGATAAATAAAAATAAAGGCAAGTATCTTCTAATAATATATGAAAATATTTCTAAATATGTGAATATGGATTCCTGGAATCGGGGCCTTCTAGATAAATACTGTGGGGAATTCAGTGTAGGAATGATTGGGTTTCAAAAAAGCAATGATAATACTTTGCAGACTTTTAAGTTAAAAGGTGTTCCTTTCCAGATTCATGGCAATGTAGGTATAAAAGACTGTTGCATCAATCCTCATTCTCCTTTGCTCCATCTAACAAAACCATCCAAGCTTGATAAAGGGCCTTTGCCTGGAAGTGACTGGACAGTTTTCCATATAAATCATTCAGCTTACCAACCTGTTGTATTTGCAAAAGTAAGAGTACCTGAAAACCTCCCTCTGGCTGCTATTAAAAATGTTCTACATGCCACAGTTATTCATGACTTGGGTCTTCATGATGGAATTCAGCGTGTTCTTTTTGGTAACAATTTGAACTTCTGGCTGCACAAACTCATCTTTATTGATGCTCTCTCATTTTTGACTGGAAAGAGACTTTCATTGTCCCTGGATAGATACATACTTGTAGATATTGATGACATCTTTGTTGGAAAAGAGGAAACAAGAATGAAAGCCAGTGATGTTCAGGTATGGTATGCCAGAAAGTCTCCTATGATGTGGTGGTGTTATCCAAATATTTATTTTTTTAATGCAAAACTTCTATAAAGTTTTATTTAAATAGAAAGTCAACTCTGCTGTGTTCAATATATTCATTTGAAATAAAATTAGTATTTTAATTAAGCCATTGTTTGTTTTTAACATCGTTTGAATCCTTTAATTTAGTAGAGCTAAAGCCATAGCATTTTGGCTGGCCTTTGTGGGAATTTAGCAATAGCAATAGCAGTTAGACTTATATACCGCTTCATAGGGCTTTCAGCCCACTCGTAGCGGTTTACAGAGTCAGCAAATTNGGAACGGCGAAAGGCCCGCCCGCCCGCGGTCCTTACCCGGTTTTGACGAGTTCTGCACTTCCACGCATGCGCAGGACGCATACAGTGCCTGCGCGATCCTCCAGGAGCAGCTGGAGCATCGCACAGACGCTAGTACGCATGCGTGCACCGCACACGTGCACGAGGACGCCGCCGGCCCCGTTCCAACCGAACGAGTTGGAAGGGGGAGAGAAACCCACCCCTGACTCAGAGGCTTTCTGATGAAAAATCTTATTGTTAGCAGATTTCTCCTTAAATAGTTGCAATCTTTTCTTACAGTTTTTATCCATTAGTTCTTGTTCTACGCCCAAAATAATGTGTTACATGGAGGCCTCAGAAATTTAGATAATCTGACTTTTAAACTAGATTTACCTAATCTGAACCTCCAAGATATATGCAAATCAGAAGGAGGGCCTCTTTTAATATGTAGCTAACCAAAACCAACATGTACCCCAAGAATTGCATTTACTTTTTTCTTCTTCATGTAATTATATACTGTTATTCAGATAAGCGCTTGCAATCCCGTTCCCAAGTATTTACTATCTGTTGAAATAGCTGCAAGGAACTTCAAAGGTAGTTTTCAGATCACTTGTAAAGAACATTATAAAAATATTGTGCAGATCTGTTTTTGTTTGCACATTATTATATTACTTGATATAACAAAATCTTCAAAATCAGAAGTGTTTCATTCCTTGCATATTTATGTTAATTATAAGCCTCAAAACAGTTCTCCCCACCCCTGATATGTACTAAAGTTTTGTCCCCAGAACTAGGATTTATATACCAACAATCACATTTATATCAATGCTGAAAACCAGGATTCTTATTTGCAGCCCCAAATGGATAACCATCCAAAGTCATTCTATTAGCCTTGCTGAAGTCATGTCTGATGTTATATTTTTTATACTTTTGTCACAAAGCCTGCTTGCTCCCTCCCCCACAGCCCTGCCATGCTTCCCTGACTTCCACGCAGCCTTCCCAGCATCCCCATGGCCAGCTTGCGAAGGCAGGCAAGTGGAAGGCTGCATGGAAGGCAAGGAAGCATGGCAGGACTGCGGGGAAGGGAGCAAGCAACATACTCCCTTCCCCGTGGCCTTGCCATGCATCCCTGGCTTCCACGCGGCCTTACTGGAAGTCCCCCATGCCTGTTTACCTTCTGAGGTCGGCGTCCAGTCCAGCCTGGCCAGTGGGTGAGTGGGCAACCCTTGATGGAAACACAGACACTATGTTGGGGCTGAGAGGGGCAGAGCTGGCAATGCTGTGGGAGGGCAAGTGAACCTCCCGGGGCTGCTGCACATGCACCCGCTCCATTTCTGCAAAGGCGGAGGGTGATCTAAAGAGAGGAGGAGGAGGATGCTGCAGAAAAGTCTGCCTTCCACCCAGGCCCACGTGCCTCTCGTGTCGGCTCTGAAAGGCTTCGGGGTCCAAAGCAGCCCATTGGCTTCTCACCCAGCCACCTGTCTGCTCCTCAGCTGTGGCCCTGCTTACCACCGGCGAAGAAGCGGAGCAAGAGGCGCTGGTGAGTGGGAGTGGGCTGCTGCTGAGTCACCTTCCACCTGGAGCGCCAGACTCCACAGGCTGTGCCTGAGTTGAAGGAAGTGGTTACGAAGCCTTGGGGCTCCCAAGCAGCTCATGTGCACAGGGTGCTGTGCTGGCTCCAGTTGCACCTGATCTGGAGGAGATTGGGGCTCCTGGGAGGCCCATGTGCATAGGGCGCTGGGCTGGTTCTGCTTGCAAAATGTCAGAAAATCCCCCATTTTGCAAGGCGGCTCTCAAAGAGAATGAAGTGGGTGTGGGTGCTTCTTCCAACAGCCGAGGCCTTCCTCAGCTGTTGGAAGAAACGCTGGGCCAATTTCATTCTCTTTGAGAGCCACCTTGCTTGCCACAGCACGAGGCGAGCGTGGCCAGGGAGAAATCAGGGGGAGGGGGAGGAGAAAGCTGAGCTTCTGCTAGGGACAGCCTTCTCCTCCCTCTCCCCTTGATTTCTCCCCAGCCACACTCACCTCGCATTGCAGCAAGTGCAGTGTGTGTGTGTGTGTGTGTGTGTAAGGGGGGCTGGATGTGACAGATCAGCTTGGAGGTTATCAAAGAAGTCTCTGTTTCTCTGCTGCCATGGCTTTTGGAGGAAGGAGGAAGGATACTGGCCAGCACTCACCCCCTCTCCGCTTTCCCGGTCAGCCGCCCAGCTAAACAGGGCAGGCGGGACCTGGGCTGCAGCCTGTGGGGAGGGGGCGGTAACACTCCATCTCGCAGGGGCAGCGGTGGTGAGCGGTAAGGGAAGCGAGTGCCACTAGCATCCCTGCCTCCTTCCTTTGAGAGCCACGGCAGCTGGGAAACAGAGGCTTCTTCGCCAGCCTCCCAGCTGGCAAAGCAAATGTTCACGGTTCTGTGGACGCGGCTAGGTGGGGGGGGCATGTGACTGCTTGTGAGTGTATGTGAGTTATGTCAAGTAGGCCACGCCCACTCAGTCACGTGCCTCCCCACCTAGCCATGCCCACAGAACCGCTAGTAAAAGCATTTGAAACCCACCCCTGTATTAGATCTTTAAGCAGTTTACAAACAAACCAATCAGTTAAAACAACTGATAAAAACATACATTAACATGTCTGCTCAAACTAAAATGAATAAAATAGACTATAAAACAATACCACGGACAATAAGACCAGTAGAATATATATGCCCGCGGGCATGCACCAGGTGGCTGCTGTTCCAGTTTCCGTCACACATATGCGCACCAGCTACCTGGTCTTCTGGTTTCTGGTGCACATTCACACATGAAGACCAGCTGGGTAGTGTGCATGCATGTGCTGGAAACCAGAAGACCCGTTGCCCTTCACTAGTCTTTGTGTGTACATGTGTGCCAGAAGCTGGAAGACCTGGTGGCTGGTGCACATACATGTGCCACTGTGCCGGAAACTGGAACAGCAGCCACCCAACACACGCATGCCCACCAGGTGGCTGCTCTTCCTGTTTCCAGCACTCCCATTTATGTGAAGACAAGCTGGCTGGCATGCTGGAACCTGGAAGAGCAACAGACAATGACTTGCATGCCCGGAGAGATGGCTCTGCATGCCACTTCCACCATGCATGCTATAGGTTCACCATCATGGATATATATAGTGCAGGTTGTCCTTAACAGATTAACAGAGTTGGAAGGCATCTTGTAGGTCATCTAGTCCAACCCCTTGCCCAAGCAGGAGACCCTACACCATTTCTAACAGACGGCAGTCCAGTCTCGTCTTGAAAGTTTCTAGTAATGAAGCTCCCACAACTTCTGAAGGCAAGTTGTTCCATTAGTTGATTGTTCTCACAGTCAGAAAATTTATCCTTATTTCCAGGTTGAATCTCTCCTTGTTCAATAGCAATAGCAATAGCAGTTAGACTTATATACCGCTTCATAGGGCTTTCAGTCCTCTCTAAGTGGTTTACAGAGTCAGCATATTGCCCCCACAGTCTGGGTCCTCATTTCACCCACCTTGGAAGGATGGAAGGCTGAGTCAACCTTGAGCCGGTGAGATTAGAACCGCTGAACTGCAGATAACAGTCAGTTGAAGTGG